ATTCCAAGAGGAGGTAGGGTCAAGATGTGTGCTTGCCTTGTGGTCAGCCTTCAATTCCCCTTGGTCATCCTGGGCCCTTTCCCCAGGTGGGACTGTGGGTCATTTGATCCCTCAGGAGCTGAGCTTGGGCTGCAGAGGTAGCTGTGGAGCATTGCCTGTGCTGTGCCAGGGACTGGCAGACACTGCTGGGCTGGGATAGAGGCTCTGGGGGCATTGGGGTTCCAAGGCAGAGCAGGGCTGGGGTTCCAGGGCCGGGCAGGGCTGGGGTTCCAGGGCAGGGCAGGGCTGGACCTGCCCCTTCCTCCCCTATTGGAATAAGATCCCAATATTACCAGGTAGATTGTGCCTGGGCTTGTCTGACCCCTGCTCCTGGGCCAAAGGCGGCAACTGTGGTGTTTCACCTCAGAGACACTTTTGGCTGGCTGGATGGTGCAGCTGAGCGCCGAAACAAGTCCAGGCTTGTAGAAAGTCAGTTTGCCTCAGGTGGGAAGGCTTCAGGCTAAGGTGAGGAGGAAAAGGAGACAGATTCTGCCGGAGGGTTAATGTCAAGAGTTTATTCCATGGTCACAGACGTCTGAATCTCAGGTAACAGCTCCAACAGAATCCCGACCGCATGGCCTGAGTGACTTTTTAAGCTCTGGGGGGAGGGGGAGGGAAGGGACAGGTGAGCCACCAACCAGGTGGGAGGGGAAGGGTCTCAGGGAATGATGACACCCAGACAGACCAATGACCTCTGGGCACAGGGGCATCTTTTGAACCTGACCAACCACACAATGGCCTTGCTGGAATGTTAAGACTGATTGACAGCCCAGCAGGGGGCTCAGGGAAAGGGGAAGGGGAAGAGAGATATTGCCACACCTGGGAAGGGGCTGGGAAGTTTAAAACAGGAAATTGCAACACACTGCAACACTCCCCACACATGAAATGTCTTGAGCCAAGAAACTCCTCCACTCTGTCACAATAAGGAATACTGGAGGTGAAATCCCAATTCTGGCCATGGGCACCTAGATAAGAAGGACAGTTCTTTTCCTTAGGAATGAAAGCCCCAGTTCTCAGTAAATTTCTGGTTTGATTGTTTGGATTCTGTTTGGTTTTGTTGTTGCTTTGTTTCCTTGTTGTGCCTGAAGTGTCCAGTCAGGAGCAGAGTGACTCTTTCCAAGGAACCTTGTGCTGCTGTCCCTTAATATTCAGTCTGGTTTTTGCTGCTCCCTTGCTGGGGATTTTTTCAGTGCTCTCACGGCCTCGTTGGTAGCAGGGTGAAGGAGCCCTGGCCCAGGCTCTGGCCCTGGGGGACACGGGGACGCTGCCGGGGGGTCCTGTCCCCCTGTGCCACCCCCAGGGCCCCAGCCCCCGTCCCCGTGTCAGGCTCTGGGGTCGATCTCATGGAACATCCTCTGGGGGAGGCTGCGGGGCCGGGGGCGGGGAGACCCGGGGGGACAGGGGACCCCGCTGTGCACGAGCAGGGTTGGACTGCTCTGGGGGGAGCTGTGAGGGGGGCCGGGGCAGAGTGACCTCCCCAGGGACCTTACACAGCTCCTGTGATGTCACACTGCCCCTGTGATGTCACACAGCCCCTGTGATGTCACACTGCCCCTGTGAAGTCACATAGCCATCTCTGTGATGTCACACTGCCCCTGTGATGTCACACAGATCCCTGTGATGTCACACAGCCCCTGTGATGTCACACTGCCCCTGTGATGTCACACAGCCCCTGTGATGTCACACAGATCCTTGTGATGTCACACAGCCCCTGTGATGTCACACAGGCACTGTGATGTCATACAGCCTGTGTGATGTCACACAGATCCCTGTGATGTCACACAGATCCTTGTGATGTCACACAGCCCCTGTAAAGTCACACAGCCCCTGTGATGTCCCAGAGCCAACTCTGAGATTCCACACTGTGATGTGATACAGCTCTGCTCTGTGATGTCACAGAAGTCTCTGTGATGTCAGAAAGTCACTCTATGATTTCACAATCTCTACTGTGATGTCACAGCCTGCTCTATGATGTTACACAGCCACCCAGTGTTGTCACAGCCCACTCCCTGATGTCACAGCCAGCTCTGTGATGCAACAACCCTCCTCAGTGATGTCACAAAACCCTCTCTGTGATGTCATACTGACACTCTGTAAGGTCACAGCACTTACTTTGACCTCACTGCCAGCTCTATGATGTCATGCAGCCATGCCATGGTCTCACAGCCTGTTCTGTGATGTCACACAGTCCCCTCTATGACGCTGTAGCTGCTCAGTGGCCTCACACAACAAACTCTGTGATGTTACAGCCCAATCTGTGACCTCACACAGCCCACTCTGTGCTGTCACACAGCCCCTTGCTGACATCCCAGCTGCTCTGTGCCTCTGTGACACAGCCCCAGAGGTGCTGCTGTGACACAGCCCCCTCAGGGCCATCCCACAGCCCCTGCCAGTGCTGAGCCCCTGTGAGCTCTGTCTGCACCCTGCTGGTGTCCCTGAGGGACCCTGGCAGTGCCCCAGCCCTGCTGGGCTGTGCACAGGAGCTGCTCCTGGCCAGAGCTGTCTCTCTGCAGCGCTGCCCTTGCCAGGAGCTGCCTCTGGGCCAGGAGCCCGGCCCAGCTCAGCAGCACAGACACAGCACAGGGACTTTAATGAGCCTCTGGGGCTTTGCTGCTCTTTGTATCAGACTCAGTCCCTCAGAGTGTGTTTAAAAACTTCTCAAGAACTCAAAGTTTAATTGAAACAGTGAATTTGCTAGAAGATTTATTGGGTCCCACTGAGGGACAGGACTGAGAAAATGTCCCCAGGTTCCAGGTAGAGCAGAACCCTGGAAGCACTCATGACAGGCAGGGACAAGCAAGGAAAACGTGTCTCTGTGCTGAGCAAAGCTGGATGTGTTTGAGGAATGCAAAGGGCCAAGGCCTGAGCCCCAGCCCCTGGCCAGGCAGATCCTGTCCCTCTCTCCTTGCTCAGGGCTCTTCCCGGGATGGGCACTGGCATGTGGGGATGTGCAATGCCAAGGGTAGGAGCATGGGGCGGCCCCTGCCAGGCTGCTGAGCAGGGACAAGGAGGCAATGAGGCCCCAGCCCTGCAAGGGTCACTTGTCCCCTCCTGGCCATGGCCAAAGTGCTGCCCAAGGCGGCTCTGGCAGGGCTGTCTTGCAGCTGCTGCCCATCCCTGTGCCCTGTGCAGCCCAGGCTGTCCCATGGTGTCCCTGCCCTGCGCCTCTGTCCCTGCAGGCTGTCGGCATCCCCCGGCTGCCCCACCTGGCTGGGCCCTTCCTTTGCTGACAGCTCTGCCTGCTGCCTGCCTCTGCCTGCCCACACAGAGCCTGGGGCTGCTCCAGGCTCCTGCTGGAGACGTGCTGCACCACAGCCCTGCCCTGGGAGGGAAATTCCTTTCTGCTGCTGCCCAGGCTTGGCCTGCCCACCTGCCCTTGGTGCCATTATTTCCTTCTCATGCCTCTACCCTCCAGGAAGAAAAGCTCCAGCCTCTCTGAAACCACCCTTCAGCCCCTGCCAGGCTACTCCTGTTCTGTCCTACGTGTCCACCCCACTGAGCCCAGAGCCTGCAGCCTCTACCTGCTGGTTATGTAATGAGGCCTCCAAACCCCATCTTGGGACATGTCTGGGTCCTCTCCAAGGTTTGTGAAAATGGAAAAACAGCGGTCAAAGGTATTTTCTCCCAAATCTTGCAGTGGCAGAACAAGGGTCAATATGTCTGAAGTGAATGAGGTGGGATTTACATTTGTTAGAAGGAGGAAATATTTTACAGTGATGAGAGTGGAACAAAATTGAAACTGTTTCTCCAGAGAAGTGGATGTGCCATCCCAGGAATTATACAAGACCAGGAGCTTTGTGCAACCTGACAACGGGAAACACTTTCCCTCCCCAAGAATGGAATTCCTATTGTGTGGGTTCTCTAATGTGCTCACAAGGCTTCTGGCCAGAATGTCAGCTGAGGGCAGCCAGGCTGCTGCAGCAATTCAGAGGCATCTCCCCAGTAATTTTAATAACCAGATGATAACAACCCACTGAAACTTGAACAGAACTTGTTCACATTTAAGTAGTTTAAGCAATCACTATCGGGAAAATGTATAGACCAGTACATTTAGAAAATGTTGCATTTATTCAGTGCAAAAAAAAAGCACAATCAGTAGAGCATATATTGTTCATCCACTCAGCTGGGCAAACCACTAAACTGCTGCACCAGAGGACGGGCACTATCCCATCCTGTATTTCCCTTTGTCATTCTCTCTCAGAGTGCAGATGAGACAAAACCAAGAAGTTCAACTTGAGTCAATCCTTACCTTCAAAGGAAATTCGTGAACCTTTTGCAGAAGCCAATGCTCTGCACGTTGATGAAATCTTCGCAGAGGCCAATGCTCTGCAGGTGTAGGAACTTTGCAGAGGCCAATGCTCTGCACCTTTAGGAATTCTCTGCGCAGGCCAATGCCCCGTGAACAATTCACCTGGCGAATCGTCCGGTGCAGCCGCCTGCAGGAGCCCAGGCTGCGCACACCCAGCCAGGGCCGCGTTCTCAGGCAGCTGAGGCCGCGCCGCTGTCACAGACGCCGCCGCCGCGTTCGCGGTTCCCAGGCACCCGCGGCCCCCGGCAGCCGCCGCCGTTTTCCGGATCCTGCCCCTCCCGGCCCCGCACGGCCCCCCAAGATGCTGCCGGGGCTCGGGGGCTTCGTCTGCCCGGGCTGGGGCTCGGCCTCCCCTGCGGGACAAGGTGAGGGGGGGTCCCCGGGGGTCGTGTTCCCCCCGGGGGCGTGTGTGAGTCCCCAGTGTCCCCCCCAAGCCAGGGTCACCCCATTTGCTCTGCCCAGAGCTCCTGAGCCAACTCCTGCTGCCCCCCGGCAGGGGCCTTGGGGAGCCCCCCGGGGACCCCCTTGAATGCCCATTCCTGGGCACTGGGACCCCCCCGCATCTCCTTCAACAGCTGCCGGACCCCCTGCACCCTCTTATCCTGCCCCGACACCCCCTGCACCCCCTTTCCCGGGTATCCTCCTCTGGCAGCCCCTGGATCCCCCGGACCCCATTCCCGGCCAGCCGGGGCACCTCACCCCCAGGCCTCCCTTCGCCCAGGGACCAGTGACGCCACCAAAGACGTGGGTCGCCATTGGCAGACAGCAAAGAGCGGCGCCAATGGTGGGGCCGGAGGCGGCTAAGGGGGCGGGGCCGCAGCAGAGCAGCGCGATGGCTCCAGCGCTGGGGTTGGGGGCGCTCCTGGGGCCCGGGGGGCGGCGAGAGCTGAGGGGGACCCCCGGCACCGGGACTCTGGGGTCGCCCGTTCCGGAGCACTGAGGGGCCCCTGAACCCCCATTTCTTTGGCGCCGCCATCCCCCCGCACCCCCATTCCCGGGCATGGGTTCCACCCTGCGCCCCCTTATCCGGCACCAACAATCCCCGCAGCCCCTTGCGGCAATCCCCCCTCTCCCAGCCCCCAGAGCCCCCTTTTCTTTGACCCAGAGACCCCCTGAACCCCTATTCCTCCCTTTGGGTTCCCCTCCCCACCTCACCATGCCGTGCTTCCCAGAGCCGGAATCCAGCGGGAATCTCACCCTGGTGCTCCCTGTGTCTGTCCGCGCTGCCATCGGCGTTGTTCTCCTCATCGGATTCGGCGTCTGGAGGCTCCAATCTGCTTCCCTCCAAAACCCTTCCTGGGGATCACCCTGTTCTTCCCCCCTCCCAAGACTTCTGGGGGTCCCCCATGTCCCACCCAGCCCCCCCCAACTCCTCCTGGGTCCCCCATAAGCCGCACATGGGGATTCCTGGGAGTTCCCCTGTGTTCCCCCATTCCCAGGACTTTGGGGGTCCCCCCCGACCTATCCGTGCCCCCCCCGATTTCTTCTACAGCCCCCCTGTGGTGGTGGGGGCTGGGGGCTGAGTGCTGGTGCCCCTTGCCTGCAGCAGATCCAGCGCTGAGGGGAGTTCGGGGGTCCCTTTGCATTTGGGGTCCCCTGGGGGTTGGGGTGACTCCCCGGGCCCCCAGGATCCCCCTGAACTCACTGATGCTGCCTGTGCTCAGTGAGGGGGCTCATTCCCAGCACGGGGTCCCAGCTCTGTCACCAGCATTGCCAAGGTACCCCCAAAACCCCCAAAACCTCCAGGGAACCCCAAACCCCGTGGAACAAACCAACCTCCCTGGGACCCCAAAACCATCCCTGGGCTCTCCAAAAGCTCCCCAAGACTGCAAAACCCCATACAGACCCCCCCAAACCCTCTCAGGAGATCAAAATTCACACAGGATGTCCCAACACCTTTCCAGGTCCCCCTGAGAAGGTTCATATCTGGCATGGGATCCCCATCTCTGTCACCGGCAGGTATCCCAAAACAGCCTTGGATTCCTCTTGGCATCGCCTAATCCCCCCGTTGGACCCCAGAAAGCCCCCCTTGGGAACCCCCAAAAATCCACCATGACGCCCCAAGATCCCCGGTATACGCAAAACCCCACCAGGAACCCCTCACAACAGTTTATACCCAGCACAGAGTCACCATCACCCAGGTACCCCCAAACCCTCCCAGGACCCCCAAACCTCCCTGGGACCCCCAACATTCCCAGGATCTCCAACTCCCCCTCCCGGGCTCCACTGTCAGAATCAATGGGAGTGGTGTTGCCCTTTCTAGGAGAATTATAGTGGGACCCGACCATAGTGGGGGCCCTAAAGCGGCGATGGTAGAGAGAATCCCAAAAATCACCCTGGGAGGCAAAACATCCCCTACAGGGCCTTGGAGTGGGGGCCCCATAAAAATGCCAATGAAAGCTGTCATGATCCCCCCTTGAAAGGGGCTTGTGTGGCTGCGGCCCCACAAACACCCTAAAATGGGAAGGAAAAAACACCCTTGAAGTGGTGGGATTTCCCCAAAAAACCCTCAAAAGAGAAAACCTTCACTTCAAAGGGGCCTGGAGAGCCTTAAAGGGCCTCGAGGAGGGACAAGATCCCCTCCTCTGCTGGGGCCTCTCCCAGCCAGGCACTCTCCCGTTCGCTGCCCTCGGGGCAGCCCCTGAGTCTGTCCAAACACGGGAACTTCGCCGTGCTGAGCCCAGATCCAGAGTCCTGACTCCTGCACAGGGCACAGCAAATCCCTCGCTCGCTGCTGTGCATTGTCCCTGCTGAGGCTCAGACACTGGCAGGGCACATTCCCTGCCTGCAGGATTCGTGCCGACCCAAGCGCTGCACTGATGGCTCCAGCATTGCTTTCCAACAAAACCAGGGCAAGGCAAACTGGGTGTAGCTCATGGAATATTACAGTGGCTAAAACTCGCTAAGGCATCCATCTGAGAGGTGAGATGCATTTGGAGTTCATGGCATGGAGAAGCAGTGCAACATGGAACAGGGGAGAATAGAAATAAATAGAGGAAAACATACTGGATTGTTCCTTCCCATTTTCATTTCACTTCTGGAAAGCTGTTTCAATTGTCTAGGAATCTTCTCCACACTCCTGTCTGCCCTTTTCAAGAACTTTTCCTGGAGAACGAGGTGCAGCTTCTGTCACAAGATGTGCCCTCAACTGCAGCTTCTCTTAGCTTTCCACACTGTGAGTGCAGCACAACTTCTGCAGCAAAGCAAGACAAATGTATGGATTCCTTGACAACTTGTCCTTTCTTTTCCTTGTGAGCTGGGGAGTTGTGCCATTGCTGAGTTTTTCATTGTGCCTGTTCTAACCCTAGAGAACAGGAGGTTTTGTTGGGGACTTGCTGGGGAATGCAAGCCTGACCGAATGCAGAGAGAATCTCCAGGACACTCTGGGAGCTCCCGGGGCTGGGCTCGGGTTCCCGCTGGGACTCTGCAGAGCGCTGGGCTCCAAGTGGGATCAGCAGCAGTGCAAAATACCTCTGGGCATCTCCATTTTCTGCTGCTCGGAGGAAGCAATGAAGGCAGCCAAGTTCTGTATTTTCCCCTGATAGATTTTTTCATTTGATTGGCAACTCCAGAGGCAATTTCTATGATGGTCTCTGTAAGTTGATTGCATTTAAACAGCACCAGCAGCAGGGCTGTGTTTGAGTGCTGCAAATGTGATCTGTGAGGCTTTCATTCCCCTCGACTTAATACTCAAGGACTTGTGAGCATTTCAGTCTCTGCTAATCATGATGCCTGTGACAAAAACACTGAGTTCACCATCACAAAAGCAAAGTGGGCAGCAGTGATTGAAAGAGGGAAGTGCAGTTGTACTGATAAAATTCAGGTGGCAAGCACAAGAGGGCCAAGAGCAGCCGTGATCTCCAATTGCCAAGGCAGAGGCAGCAGCAGCCTCCTGCTGTCAGCTCAGGGTGAGTAAAGGAGCGCTGAAAACAGCGCTGGAACCCGATCCTTTCATCCCCTGAGGGCTGGCTCAGGGCAGCACAGGCGGGCCCTGAGCAGTCAGGGCTGTGTGTAGGTGCTGGCTGCTCTGCTCCCGAATTGAGCTGGAAAAAGCCCTTGGGAGCCGAGGCAGGAGCAGGCGGGAAGGGGCCGGCGCTTCTGCTGATCCTGGCTGGGAGCCCCGGCTGGGCCGGGCCGGCGCCCCCTGCGCTGCTGCTGCTGCTGTGAAGAGGCAGAATGTGTGGAAGTTCAGCGAGTGTCTGGTAAGAACAGCCTGCGAGCCCCAGCCTCAGCCCGGAGAAGCCCCCTGAGCGCGGTGCTCAGTGTGCAGGGCGGGCAGCTGTGCCCCTGACCGGCGCTGCACGCAGAGGCCGCGCGGGCTCTTCTCCAGGCTCCCGTGGGCCTGAGTCGGGTGCCCATGGAGCCCCGGCCCGGCGGGGCTGCGGGGCGGCTCCGCGGCTCCCCGGGCAGCAGCCGGCCCTCTGCCCCCTCCCCTCGGGAGCCCTTGGCCAGCGGCTGCTGGCCGCGCCTCAGGGCTGGGCGGGCAGGCGTGGCCGGCGATGGGCGCAGGCAGCGCCCGGCCCAGGGGCTGAGCCCGCGCCAACCCTTCCCTCCTGCCGCTCTCTGCAGCTGGCAGAGGACAGGAGCCGAGCGGCCGAGCACGTGCGCAGGGCACTGCACTACCTGCAGAGCCCACAGGAGTCCCTGCGAGAGGCGGCCGTCAGGTTCATGGGTGAGTCCCGAGCCCCGGCCCGCCGCAGCTCGGCCCCGGCCCCGCCTGCTGCCCCGGCAGCGCCAGCCCGGCCCGGCGCCGTGGAGCCCTGCCTGGCCTGGGCGTTGCTGCTGCCGCCCTGTGACAGCCGTGCCCTGGGGCGGCAGCGTGCGGCAAGGGCCCGGGCCGAGCCCTGCCCGGCCAGCAGCCCGTGTAGCCACAGCGCCGGCAGCACCGCTGGCAGGGAGCTGTGCCGCTGGGGCTGTGACAGGCTCTGTGTTCACAGGCATGGCCGGGCGGCACCTGAGGGGGCAGCAGCAAGAGCTCCAGCTGATCTGCACTGGTGAGTGAGTGAGGGCAGCGGGCTGACAGCGGGGGCTGCCGGGGGAGCTGCAAACCCTGCCCCGGCTGCAGAGGGCTCTTCTCCTTGTGCGGACATGGGGCGGCGTGGGCAGAGCACACAGAGATTTCAGGGCCACCTTGGGGATTCGTGGCCAGCAGCTTCGGGCCGGTGCCCTTGGTCCCTGCTCCCTCCTGGCCATGGCTAGAGCCGGCTGGGATGGCCCTGGCAGGGGGCTCTTCTTGGCTCCCCGCAGATCCGGGATCTGACCATGGCTCTGTCCCTCTCTCTTGCAGCCCTTGAACCGCTGACAGAGGAAATCAGCAGTGCCGTGTCGGACGTGGCACTAGAAACACTGTATGTCCTCCAGTCACTGCAGAGTGAGCGATATTCCCTCTTCCAGAGGCTGCAAGATCAGCTCCGCAGGGCATGGAGGACACGGCCTCGTCTGTCAGGGCTCGGCTGGCTGCGCTGCTGCAGCTCTGCAGAGACCTGATGCCAGAGGCTCTGTCTGCTGGGGCCACCTGAGCCAGCTGGAATTTTCCATTTCTTCAAGATTGTTCTTTTCTTCTTTTTGTTTTTTTTTCTTTAGTATATGAATATAGAGTGTGTTATAATACACAGACTCCCAGGAGCTTTCTTTTGCTACCCAGGGTCTGCAGGGCATAGGGGAAGAGGGGGAGAAGGGTACCCCGGCTCAGCAAGCTGCACAGGCATGCAGTGGTCAAGGGAAAATGGCCAGAAGCCCCTTGTCCTGTGGTGGCTCTGCTGAAGCCTTTGTGCTGGTGACAGAGCAGGTGGGCAGGGGCCGGGGCTGCAGGGATCCCTGCCAGAGCGGTGCCTGGAGATGGCCACAAGCCCTGTGCCAGGAAGGAGCCACCCTCTGTATCCTCCTGCCCGTGTGCTTCTGGCTGGATTGCTGAGGGCTCCCAGGTGCCTCTGGATGGGGCTGCTCTGCAGCTGCTGTGGGGCTGCGGTGCTGCTGCCGGGCAGCTTGGCCGGGCTGGGGCAGCCCCTGAGGGGCTGGGGCGCTGGCAAGCCCTGAGCAATGGGCTGGCAGAGGCCACAAGCAGCCCCCCGGCAGCTGCCCGCCTTGTTCCTGCCAGAGTTGACTTGCAAGAGGGATCCTGGGCACTCTGGAACTAACAGCATCAGTGTTGTTGGAAACCCAAATGCAGGGAAATCTCAGATCTTTGGTCTTGTCAGCAAAGCTTAGAATTAAACACAGGATTTGATCGGAGACCTTGGAAAGGGCTTCCAAATTTAGGTGGTAGAAGCGAGAATGTGGATTCATAGTATAAAACAGAGACACCTTAAGCTAAGTGGAGGAAAGTTTAGCATTTTAGAGTTTAAAGTATAGAAAAAATAAAAGTAGTTGCAACCGTAAACAAGAAGCTTAGGATGCAGGGCTGTAGGTTTGTGTGTCAGAACATGATTGGCTGAGAAACCTTACACTGTAGCATGAGTCCATGGCATGAAATACTGAAGGATTGGGTCAGAAACATACATATCTTTGTTGGCAATGTTTTATT